CCTGAACATTTGAAAATCAGCCAATTATGACCCAATGTATGAAAAAATAAAGGGAGAAAGTCTATACTATATATATTGAAAAAATATATATATAGTAATTTAAAAACCAACTTACGATTTTTAAAAAGAAACTTAAGACTCTTTGAAACAGAGGACATTTTTCAATCTGACAAAAGCTGTCTTTTGTGGATGAATATCCAGTGCTCTTGGTATCACTTGTTGAAGAGAATGTCTTTTCTCCAGTGTGTATTTTTTGCCGTCTTTGTAATATTGTGCATCTGTAGTTGTGTGCATTTGTGTTTTTGCATTCTGTTTTGTTCCACTGATCTGTGCTGGTGCCATGCTGTTTGTATTACTACAGCTCTGTAATAAATCTGGAAATCTGAAATGGTGATACCTCCAGTATTGTCCTTTTTACTCAGTATTGCTTTGGTTATCCTTGGTCTTTTGTAGTTCTATATGAATGTTAGGATTTGTTTTTCTATTACTGTGAAGAATGTTGTGTGTATTTTACCAGTTGGTTGTTGTGGAGGCCCACAAAGGTTTCCTAGTGAGATCTGAGCTTGCTTTACCCAGCAGAGCTGAATTAGAGGATTGCTTGACCACATATGTGGTTACCAGGTGATTGGAAGGGTCTTCACTTGGCTGGGCTAGGGGGAGGTCTTTTGCTCCACCCCTCGGCATTCCTATAAAAAGCCCTTTAGAAGAGACAGAAGGGATGGGTGGATAATGATCCAGGCCCTCCCAAGGCTATCCTGTGTTTCTATCTGTTTTTCTTCCTAATATCCTTCTATCTGATATCTCTTATCCCTCATTCCTCAAGAGTATCCTGTCATAAAATATGGGAGCCAGTCTCCCAGCTGGGCTCCCACAGGTTACATAATAACAAATGGTCAGCCTTAGAAACATATGTACAAAAACACTATATGGACTAAACAGGTTGTAGTGTGTGTGTGTGTGTGTGTGTGTGTGTGTGTGTGTGTGTGTGTGTAACAACAAAAACAATTTAAGAAAAAGAGGCCATGAATTTGAAAGATAAAAGGGGCATGCTGTCTGCTGATATAAAATTTAGACTCACAAGTATAGGATAGATAGAATATTTTCTTTAATTTTACAAAATACAAATAGACTAGATATTGTAACTGTAATTCTTGCTTGATAACTATTTTGTTACATGTAATTTTAATAGGTAAAATTAAAACTTTCCTTTCTAAAAAAAGGGGGGGGTGCTGTGGATATCACTCTGTATGCTGTGAATGTGTTGCTCTGATTGGTTGATAAATAAAATATTAATTGGCTAGTAGCCAGGCAGGAAGTATAGGCAGGTTAAGCAAACAAGGAGAATTGTGGGAAGGCTGGAAGGCTGAGTCAGGAGATGCCAGCCCACTGTCCAAGGAGTAGCATGTAATGACACACAGGTAAAGCCATGAAACAAGTGGCAACATATAGATTAACAGAAATGGGCTGAGTTTAAGTGTAAGAGCTAGTCACTGGTAGGCCTGAGCTAATGGCTAAGCAGTTTTAATTAATATAAGCCTCTGTGTGTTTACTTGGGTCTGAGCAGCTGTGGACTGGGTGGGACACAGGAAAACTTCTAGCTACAGGGGCACATGGAAGGGTTTGGAGGGAAGAAAGGGACGGAGGTTATGTAATTTTAGTACAGTCTTATTTTCTAGTGTCTTCCTCCGTTTCATTATCTTCAGAGATTTAAAGTTTACATCGAAGAGTTCTTTTATAAACTTAGTTGGGTTTATTCATAGATCTTTACACTTTTAGATGCTACTGTGAGTGGGAGTATTTCCACAATCTCATTCTCAGTGCATGTTACTGGTATATAGGTATACTGATTTTTGTAACTTGATTTTGTGTCCTGCCAGTGCTGAAATGTTGATTGATTGTAGAAATTTTCTGATGGGATTTTTGGAACCCATTATGTATAGTATCATATCATCTGAAAACAGATAATTTTGCTTCTTTTCCTATTTAATTTCCTTTAATTTCTTATTATTGTAGTTAATTCTTCAAGCACTATATTTAATAGCAGGTGTCTTGTTCCTGATTTAAATAGAATTTCTTTGAGTCTGAAAACTGTTTTGCAAAGTAATAAATTGACAAAGGCACTAGCAAATGGGAAAATACACAATAATCATGGATCAGGAGGCTGAATGACAGATAGATGAGTTTGCCCCCAAATCTCTCCATTAGAAACAATGGGGTATCAGTATTCTGGAAAATCTGAAATGTGGAATAGAAGAAGGGAGTAATTGTAGGACTTTAAATATCAAGCCCAAACACTTTTCAAAAAGCTCCCCTGAAGGCCAAAGAAACCTCAACTTTTGTCATAGACATTGATTTGGACACATCATATGCTGAAGCTGATTCCTTTTCAGCTTCTGTGAAGGAGAACTTTAAATGATTGTGTATTGTTTCATAACTTCATGTATGAATACAATGTATTTAGCTCATTTATATCCTCTGCTCCCCTCCAGCTCCTCCCAGACCCTCCTCCCAACATTTCCCTCCCAACTTCACATCTTCTGCTTTTTTATTCCCCAGCCCAGTTAGTACTGTCCATATGCTCATGGGTGCTCAGTGTCATTCACTGGAACATGAACAACTGACCCTGCACCACACTGATGAAGAAAACTAACTCTCCCCCGCCCCCCGACAATCAATTAGGGGTGGGACCTCATGAGCTATTGACAGCTTGACCTTGTGCTTCATAAGGCATTAACTGTATGTTAATATAGGACCATTCTCCTTCTCTATTGCTTCCTCTGGTGACTATTGAAGTCCACGTTGTTCATTTCATCTTTGTTTTTTTTTTTATTCTGTCATTCTTAAGGTCTTCCTTCCCTTTAATAGGTTAAGTAAAACTTTACCATAAACTTTTTAACTGCCTGAGAATTAGGGGCTAAACAAAGAAAGAACCACAATGCTTTATAGAGGTCCTGCTGACCTAGGTCCCTCGCATAGTGAACAGCACAAGTGGGGATCAGGCATGAAATGTCAAGACTCACCCAATGCTTTTGGGGTCTGTCCTAGTTAGGGCTACTACTGCTGTGATAAAACACCCTGACCAAAAGCAAGTTGGGAAGGAAAGGGTTCATTTTGCTTACATTTCCATTTCATAGTCCATGACTGAAGGAAGTCAGGGCAGGAACTCAAAAAGAGTAGGAACACAGAGGTAGGAGTTGATACAGAGGCCGTGGAAGAGTACTGCTTATTGATTTGTTCCTCAGAGCTTGCTCAGTTTGCTTTCTTATAGAACGCTTTATTTTCCTGGCTTCCCTTCCTCATGCTGTGACAAGAAGCTGATGAATGTCTGCTGAGACCAGCAGAAAGAACCACCCTCCAGTCTTAATCAACTTTTAATTGCTAGCTGATAATAGAAGACAAACTGAACACTTGAAAGCAATAAGAAATCATATTCGTCTTTATACATGTGTTCATACAAACTTGCACATGTAACTTTTATCAAAACAAGACACATACCATCAAAGATTGCACTGTAATTCATCCTTGACAGCCACAGGTACATGCGAAAGTAAAAACATGCAATTAGATAATGGGCGTATTTTCAGAAATATGAAGTTAGCATTAGAGAACTTCTTAAGGTTTTGTTCAAATGTGTACAGACTACAAGAAAAACAATGGCAAGAACAAAATAATAACAGAACTTAGATTAACATTGTGTGTTGAGCTACTCTGAATTACCTAAACATTATTGACGTAAACATGGACCCTATAGCTCAATGGCCACAGAGTTAATGGAAAAACCTCTACTAGTTATTCCCTATGATATGAATGCACTCATTGACCTAATTCTTAGTCCTGCATTGTAAGCACAGAGGCTCATCCGGCATTTGTCCCTTGGTGCACCAAATCTCAAGAGTGTTTAGGGGTTTGTTGACCATCATCACAGAAATGAAAGGCACCTCTAATCTGTTTTATTCAAAACAGTTTCTTCACTTCATGTTACTAAATTAGATATCATTATACCAAACACTGAAAAGTGAGTTCTATCAGAAACTGGAGCACTAGATTGACACAAGAAAAGACATGGCCAGTGTCTGATGTCTAAAGCAACAGTGATGAATTGGTTTTTAATGAATATTTTATTCATAGACTTCCTGAACTGAGTATACAAAAAGGTGTCCTCATAATAAAGGTACCATTTCCTAGAAATATGCCATTATTTTATCATTATAACAATATAGCCCAGCATCCACATAATCCTTGACTCTTCAAAGCTATAAAAACCATTCATATCCCTCAACATCAACAACATTACAAATTACATAAAAGCAGTTAACTGGGTGATACACATACTATGAACATATATATATATATATATATATATATATATATATATGCATACAAACATACCAAAAGTTGGTTTACCATTCATCTTTTGTTCTTTGATAAAATAAGCTCTCATTTATTGCTAATGTAAACATTGATGACAAATAAACCCACTTGCATTTATCCTGTAAATCTCCAGGAACACGCAGTCACAGATTTCCAAACGTCTGTGACTAATAGCCAAGACCTGCAGAGAGCACAGCGACTCCACTGTACAGGAATCGTTTACAATTGGAGCTGCTTTGTTCCCAAACACAAAAGTCAAAGAAAGTAAAAGTACAATAGAAGGAGAAATTTTGTGAGTTATTTTTTTTAAAAGGAAAAAAGTTGCTTGGAGATTATGTGGCTAAACGGTGGTGGTGCTGGCGTGTAACTCCAGATACCCTGGAGGCTAACTCTGAAGGATCCACAAGTTCAAAGTCTGCATGGGTTACATAATAGGTTCGAGGCCAGTCTGGGCAGTTTAGTGAGACCCTGTCAAAAAAACAGGGAAAGGGGAGGGGGCTGGGAACATAGCTATTCAGTGTTTGCCTAAAGTTTGAAAGACCCTGGGCTTAATCCTCAGTAATACAAACACACATAACACACACACACACACACACACACACACACACACACACACACACATACACACACACACGATTATTATGCTCAGGAAACTCATAATACATAGTAATGGGGTGTTTTAAACAGACTGAAAATACATCTACTACATTCCAAATGGGTCTGCTTGTTCACGGTGAAATATTTGGTGACAGCATCAGAGGTAGTCCAAAAAATAATCGAAACTATTATTTATTATGACATTCAGAATGAGTGTGCTTATTCGATAAGCAATTACGAATTTAATATTTAAGATTGATTAGCCTATCCAAAATCTGCCAAGACTATGTAAAAATCTGAAGATATATTGGGGGGAAATGCATTGTTTAAACATGTAAATTATTTACACACATACACACATGTACATATTTAGTAACACAATATGCAATCGGGAAAAATGAAATTATTCCCCTCAATCTGTAGTATCTGTTAAGTCATTTCTGAGCAAAGGATGGTGTTCTCTTATATGACAATGAAGTCACTTACTATACTACAGAGCTGCCAGTTAGCTTAATTGTTCAGGGCATGGTGTTCATGTAGACCTTGTGGTATGTCCTGATATTATGTTACATATTATTTTGACCATTTAAATTATATTTGGATAAGAAGTAGAAGTTTTGGACATAAAACAATTAGGTAACATTTTGAAGCTAAAACTTGTGCTTATAGTTGCTGGGGATATGGCTTGGCAGTGAAGAGCATGCATTTTTCTTGCAGTGAAGTCTTGTTTGGTTTCCAGCACCAGCCCACATGGCTTTCAACTGTGTCTTTTGTTTCAATGGGATCCAGTGTCTCTGTCCTTCGAGGGCACCTGCACTCATGTACACACACATGCACACAGAACACACACATTCACATAATTTAAAATAATCTGTAAAAGGTTTTTAAAAGATCGTGGGTATGTATACCCCAACAACAACTGCCTTCAACGTAATTAGATTAATTCTTAAACTTGCCTGAGGAAAAGACTCATCAGAGGAGTCTTACACTATAATCTCTAACTTTCCCAAAGAAATTCTATGTAGATATACAGATAGCAGCAAATTTATCAAAATATAATTTATTCCCTGCATGTGTATGTGCATGTGCATGTGCGTGTGCGTGTGCGTGTGTGTGTGTGTGTGTGTGTGTGTGTGTGTGTGTGTGTGTGTTCACAGCCATCAACTTATGCTTTATGTAACAGTTTTTGTTATAGGTCTTTAAAATGAAGGAAAACATACCTGCAATTTGTAGCAAAGCACTGTCTGTAACACCACAGTAGCTCCTAGCAGACATCTGGGATAAAGAACAGGCAGCACTTTTAACACCAGAGCTCTGTCAGACGTGGTTTGTGTTTGTTCGGTTTTCACTCTAAGACAAACAAACATGGGTGTGAACTACTGAAGAGTCTTGGTTCTGCACTTTCTGTCAAGTAAGAGCTATTTGGTTTCAATTACTTACTGATGCAATCAGATCATCAACCTAGAGCACTTGCTGTACTGTGCCCACGTTCTCCTGAACCCTTCATTTTTCAGTGAACTATGTAGATAATCCAGCCAGTCAACAGAAATCCAAAGTAGTGACAAAACCCTAGGTCAAATGCCTAATAAAGTTGAACAAAGCTTTGTACTTAGCTAGTGCCTTCAAACATCACAATAACTGACATCTGAATAAAAATCTTTAGGGTAGAGCAGTTCTTGGTCCGTTGGCCCCTGTGGCCTGGCGCAGCGTGGACAATATTTGGATTATCGATAGAGGTGCCCAATTTTGTGAAAGTGCCCGCCGAATGGTGTGTGCTCGTGACCATGGTGGTTGCTATTGCCGTGGACTCACTTGTAGATTCGTTTTCAGCTTTTCACTCTTTAATAAGAGTCTTTCCTCTCACTTTCTCTTTGTGTTCCGCCCGCTCATTTACAAATAAAACAAACTAACCCTTTCCCTGCTAGGGATTGTTCTGAAGATGTGAGGAGAAAAAAAGGATGGTTGTCCCTACTGTGACTACTTCCAGGATCCCCAACACCAAACATAGGAACACCTGAAGATGCTCAGACAACTTAGAGAAAATCGAGGCAGTATTTGTATATAACTGACCCATGTCTCTTACACATACAATACTTTAAATCATTGCTGGGTTACATGTAACACTCAGTACATTGTCAGGGTTATACCGTATTGTTTAGGGGATAACGACATGAAAAAGAAATGTGTCCATATTCAACACAGGTGACGTTTTTGTGAATATTTCAGTTCAACCATAGGTAAGGAGGGACGCCTGTACTACATTTGTGTCACATGTTTCCAATAAAATAAAGGTCCCCACAGTCTCTCTTGTCTTGAATTCATTCCGCATTGTACTTCAACCTCCTCCACTGATACACGTGGTTCATTTAACAAGAGGCTGTACATGTTCCGTATTCCCCTTCATGGGCAGAACTAGAGATCTGATTATAAAGCAGACAGTGGTTCAGTTCCGGCCACACAGAGGCAACCCTAAAGAGCTCCCAGTTGGACTACGCTGATTTCTAGACAAGAGAAAGCCAACACAGAAAGCAGTAAGACCCCAACCAGTGCGGGTAATTTGTTAGCACCACTGCCTTTTTAAACAGAGTCCACTTTTATTAAATTGTTCTTGGCTATTAGGGGAGCGGGCTTACATTTAATCTTATCTGCTGCATCGTTTGAGCTGTCCACAAAGAACATCTTGCCTGTGCACAGGGAGACGATAATTTTTTTGTATTCCTTTCTGAAATTCTGGTTCAGTAGTCCGTATATAATCGCATTGAGGCAGCTGTTGAAATATGCCATGTAGTAACTAGCCACGAACAGCCACTCTGGGATTCTGGGGACCATGGTGGCAGGGTCTGAGGCCACGATGAGCCCTATGAAGTTGAGTGGGGCCCAGCAAATGGCAAAGAGTACGAAGACGACGAACATGGTGACAAAGTTCCTGAAGTCCTGCGGCTTCAGTTTGGGCTTGTTGTCTGGTTTCACCCTCCGTCTGACCTGAAGAACCAGGATCCAGATTCGTAAGTAGCAGAAGCTGACGATAATCATGGGCACGACGAAATGGAAAACCACCACCGCTATTGTGTACATGGAGCTGACAGACTGGGTGAAGGTACAGGAGTAGATCCGGGGATCGTACTGGAGAGTTCCGGTTTGCAGGTTGGGCATGATGGCGACAAGCGTGAGCACCCATATCAGGAACACGTAGCAGAGGGAGTTCTTGTTACTGTAGAGTTTGTCATACTTGAGACTGTGGCAAATGTAGCAGTAGCGATTAATGGCGATCCCGGTGATGTTGAATATCGAGCCGATGACACTCAGACCCATCAGAAAGGCACTGATTTGACAGTGCAGATATCCCAGATTCCAGCCATTGTTAAATATGGATGTCAGCACCAAGGGATATGGGTAAATAGCCACCACGAGGTCTGCAACAGCTAAGCTCACCACAAACATATTTCCTAAGAGGGAAAGAGGTATAAAACACAGGTTAACACCAGTATTACATGCATTGCATCTTTAAACATAGGTTAAAGAAAGGGGGATTGGAAAGATAGCCAGTATAACTTGCCGTGCAAGCTTGAGGACTGGATTTTGGATTCTCAGTACCCATCTAAAAGCCCTGTGGGTTTGGATACCTGCCTATAGTCCCATGCAAAGGGAGCGGGAGACATGGGATCCCCAGAGCAAGCTGGCTAGCCAGATTAGTAATAGTGGAAAGCTCTGGGTTCAATTGAGAGAGCTTGCCTCCAAAGCGAAGTTGTAGAAGGACTGGAGAAGACATCTGTGTCAACCCCCAGCCTCATACCCATGAACTTACACATTCATTCATGCATAGAAACATCAAATACATAGATCACACAGGATATATACTTCCATATTGCTAAAGAAAGGAAGGGGGAAGGAAGGAAGGAGAAAGAGACAGACAGTCCAGGGAGGCAGGGGAGAGACAGGACAAGCTCTTTCCGAAACGTGGGTGACCTGAAACCATGTGCCATGAATGCCACGTGATAAATGAAACAAATGCCACCAATAAGCTTCAACGTGGCCCTTGTTGAGTCACGTCCACTTTCTGAATGTCTGTGTTCCAGACCATTCCATTTCCCAAAGCATGGAATTTCAGACTATATTCTCTTTTTGTGACCGGTCAGTCTCAAGATCCTAACACGTTCATGCCGTCTTCTGTTTGGGGGGGTCTCACGTGCAAAGTCTGACATCACCTTACTTCTCAAGTCTGCCATGAATTCCTTCAATTCCAGAATCCCTGATCTCTCTGATTCTTCCAAAGCTTAAAAGGGGCTTCTAGCTTCTGGTGTTGGGGGGGCTATATATCTTTGTCTTAAGGGAAAAGGGCTCCACCATCAATGTCTGGATTCAAAGATGGTGCCATCTCTGACTAGCTGTGGAACTGGACCAAGGCATTTCACTTTGGCAATGTTCCATTCCTTCTCCTACGATACAGAGATGTTGGAAAGTGTCTCCTTCCTAGTGTCAAGTGAGCCTCAGATGAGGCAATGTATGCCAAGCACCGTGCACTGTCTCCAATGCATATGAAAATTGGTAATGCTCTGCAACTCCCACCCTCAAACCAAAAGGAAAGGAAGACATTCTCTTGTATTTATGAATAACCAAATTAGAACATTAAACCCCACATATTCTGAATCAGTGGTAATCTTCTACTAATTTGATAACTGAACACATTTTCAGTGTATAGAAAAAGAACTTACCTAGCTAAATTTTATGAGATGTTCTACCAATATAATCTTTTATTTTTTGTGGCTTTAAAAACAGCTTGATTTCTTAATATCCCTTCTCTTTCAAATTGCTCCTCAATCAAGTTTTGGCAATTTTATTAATTTTTTTCAAGCCCATCCTAAATGGGTATGCCCACATCCTTTTCTTATTTGCCCAACCAGAGATAAGTAGTTTCCCCTTTGAAGATGCCAAAATTATTTTATTTATATCCCATCTAATTTGGAATAGGTTATAATACATTCCATTCAATAAGAATTTAGCAAATGCATCCCAGCACTCGGGAGGCAGAGGCAGGCGGATCTCTGTGAGTTCGAGGCCAGTCTGGTCTACAAAGTGAGTTCCAGGAAAAGTGCAAAACTATACAGAGAAACCCTGTCTCGAAAAACCAAAAAAAAAAAAAAAAAAAAAAAAAAAAAAAAAAAAGAATTTAGCAAATGCATATAAAGAGTTCTGGGGGACTAAGAACAGACAGGAAGACAAAACTGTAACAGAATCAAGAGCAAGTTTGCTATCTATCTCTAGAAAGGGGTGGAATGCTAACCTATGTGGAATGACACAGAGTTGAGAATGGAGTACATGACCTCAGGGGCTAGGGAAATGTCCCAGTTGGTAAAAAAAAAAAATGTTTGACACACAAGCAGAAGGACCCAACTTTAGATCCCCAGCGTGTGTGCTTGTGGAGGTAAAAGGTTGGTGTTGAGCATCTTCTTCCAATGTTTTCCTCCTTAGTCTTTGAAACAAGGTTTCTCCTGATCCTGGAACTCATCTATTGTCACAACTGTAATCAGAGTGATGGGAAGACAGAGGTAGGTGGGTCCCAGAGCTCATTGACCACTCATTTTAGACAATAGATGAGCTCCAGGATCAGGAGAAACCTCGTTTCAAAAACTAAGGAGGAAAACATTGGAAGAAGATGCTCAACATCAACCTTTTACCTCCACAATCATGCACACATGTGCACTCCCCAAATATATGCACACACCAACATACATGTACCTACCTCCAACCCCCCAGAAGAATACATGGCCTTAAAATGTCAATAATTATGACCAAATGATATAGTACTATTACCTAGTTGTGTTCTTAAGTGAAAGGAAGGAAGGAATGAAAGAAGGGAGGGTGGGAGGGAGGGAGGGAGAGAGAGAGAGAGAGAGAGAGAGAGAGAGAGAGAGAGAGAACTCTTCCTCCCCAAATCCCCTAAATATAACACATGTGAACATTACAGCAGGAGAGGACAAAGCCACCTGATAAACACATCTACATAGACTCTCTGGCTTAATTTTTCCCCAAACATTTGTAAAATGAGATTAATCCAAAGAAAATAAAACTAATGATTTAATTAATGTAGTTAATTGAATACTAATAAAGCACAATTGTTGTAAAAGACATGAAGGATCAAAGCCACACACACACACACACACACACACACACACACACACACACACACACACACACACACACACAGAATCTCAACTATGATGTTGTCTGTGGTTTGAATTTTAAGCTCTTTAAAAATAAGTCTACACTAAGCCATTTTACCACATACCATTCTGGGTTTCAATGTACTGTTTGTATGTTATGTCAGTGTGTAGCTGGGTCTCGTACATTAAACATCATTTTAAACTACTAAATGTTTCGAGTGAAAATGGGCTGACTCCAGAATTTAACTATTTCCCTTGTCATTTAAAATTATCTGTGGGGTAAAAATAATTTACCATTGAACCTTTAGTTTGGACTCATCACCAGCTTTTTCAAGAACTGACTTTTAAAGAATCTGGGGAGATGGGGCAGGGGGCGCTGTGACTGCTGCACAGGCATGAAGACCTGAGTTAATACCCCTTCACCTCTGTAAAAGGCCAGGCATGGCTACACACACCCACAGTCCTGATGCTGGAGCGGTGGAGATACAGAATCCCAGAATTATTAGCGAACCATTCTAGGCAAGTCGGTGAGCTCTGGGTTCACTGGGAGATTGTGACCCAAAAACAAAGATGGAGAGTAACTGATACAGATATCCACTGTCAACTTGTGGCCTATACACACGTGCACAGGCATGGACTGTACATTTACACATACATGTACACACATGCATGCTTATGCATATACAAATGTAACACACACAAACATATATATGCATGCATCACAAACAGGCACACAAAGAATTTTTTTTAGAACAATTTTTTTCTGAAAACTTTCAGCACATTTCTTACGTCATAACTGCTTTTCATCTTCTTTCCTTAATTGCAGTTAAAGAAACTTTCATTACAAAGCTTACTTCGTGTCAAATGTCTGGAGGTAACAATGTAATTTACATGCTCAAACCCAGGGAAAGTCCCTGTGGGTGGTGCTGTTTGAGACACAAACATGAGGAACCCACACACTCTGGAAGCAGAGTCTAGAAACGAGGGAAAGCAGGTTTACAAACAAGCATGCAAACATCTGCCTTTGGAGAGGGCAAAATCTGTCTAGCTGAACCCAATACCTCTCCTTCCCCTACCTTGATGAGCTCTGTCTCTGGTCTTCTTCCTGGGAGTACAGGCATATGGGATACTTTGTCCTGACTTGAATAAAAGCAAATTCTAGACACTGAATGGCATTCCCTTATAGGATGCTGTGTCCACCGTGATGGAATTTCTCAAGGTGTGCTTCTAACTAAGGAATTCATTGCACAGTAATGGGGACAGGCTCTTGGAATTCACTGGGTTTGTTATGTTTCCCACCTTAGAATATTGGTTTTGAAGGTTCATTTAAAAACTGATTGGGTCACCCTGTGAATGGGATACCCCAGGGTGGGATATGAGTGTCAAATCTATGATTAGTCTATAGTATTATTAACCTCATACCAAAGATTCACTGGTCATAGAATCAAAGGCAGATGTTTTAGCTTTCCCTTTCACAATCTCACTAGTGACTCCTTACCAAACTGTTTGCTTCCTGGCCTCTGCCCTTACAACTTTAGGCTCCTTTGGTCTTGCAGGCATGTCCACCCTGCTAACATGCGGCCCATGGGCCACATGTGTCCTAAGATATCAGTCTGGCCCAACACCTGTATAGATCAGAACATCGTGCTGCAACATCGGAGGCCTGGACAGCCTTGAGAACCTATAAGCTTAGATCCAAAGAAGAAACTCTTTCACCAGCTCGGGAGCCCACGGTTTCATTAAATTGAAAGTTGAGGGTGACATTTATATACTTTGAGCTCCTTATTTCAGTGAATCAATGGGAGGGGGCTATTCCTGTAATCTGTCTTGATAAGGAAGACAGATTATCATTACACACAAGACCCATAAAGTACATATTTCAAGGGCAAGAAATGCTAGGAAGTTTCAGTACTCCCATATTTTGTGAATAAAGCCAATGGGGAGATAAAATAGCCCAAACCAGGCAGGCATGCCAATGTCCTAGAGATTTAGAAATAAATGTATGAGCTACCTGAACAGGCAAGGAACCATGACGTGTGGAGGGAAAAGGAAGTGGGGAAAGTATTTAAAAATATTCATAATGATCATGTGACCAACTGCAGAGGTGAACACTAAAGTAATTACGAATATTTCTTATTTACCATGGTTCGGTTGTGACCCTATTAACCATTGGTTTCCTCTTTCCCTTTGCTATTGGCCTGCCGTCCAATTTGTGGCAGCAGTGAAGCCTGTATTTCGGTAATTAAACTATAGGGTATAAATGGGGACTGTGATTCAATTAGAAA